GGTGTGATATACAACAATAGTATTCACCTTACCTTTTACCGATTTCTTTTTACCCCAACTTTCAAAAATATCATTAAAATCGACAACAACTGTCAAAGCAGGCACGAACACCATTCGTGCTACGCCTTGAAAGCAACACACATCCGCTCGTTTTCGTCTCCTCAAGTATGTGCATTGGAGCGTGCTATCGAATACGATCTTCGGACAAAAATGCCGGAGTTGCGCATCATGTTGTTTAATGTCATTGGTACAACCATCAAAATCATTTTTGAACAAGCTTTGAATAAGGAAAGAATAATACATACACTAAAAATAACTTATCTAAATATATGAACCTAAAATAAACAAAAATATTACAGTATAAACTCAATGTTTTAATAATTACATTTGTCCTGGCGTTTGGCATCTTTTTTGTGTCACCAGCATACTAAGGCCAGTCTGAAATGATTTTATAGTACCAACTCTAACTAACGAGGCCACATGATCATGGGTTTATCTGGATCTTTACGAATGTTTAATTAATTCCAGTAATGCAAAAAAGTTACTTTTATCATTTCATGTATAGATCAGTAAAAAAACAAATGACAGATTTTTTCGACAAGACATTTCGCACTACATTGCGTGGCATAGGATTGCTTGAATTATTATTGATATTGATTTTTAGTAACTAAGTCGTTGTATAATTATATTAATATACAAACACATGAAAATTTTCTGTTCGAAGTTGGTCTTCGAATTTGTCATATTGACTGCTGAGCTTATTGTGTTTTTTGATTGTATTGATGGAAATATGACAAATTAAACAATGTGCAACTCCCATTTTCTTCGAAAATGCCACCTTCTTCATGTACTTTGCGTTTAATTTAATTACTCAAGTGTTTTATTCAAGTATTCTTTTGCTAGCTTGATGTGTATTCTTAATTGGGTCAAAATGTGGACAAAAAAAATCAATATTCCAAAACTACTTTCAGTAAATTGTTTTCTGTGTGAATAATCAATTTCACTTTAGAAGGTTTGAAAAATCTATTACATTTAGATAAAAATAAAAACTTCCAAAATACTATTACAATTATTGTTAAGCGTTCGAGGGCCGCACTGGAAGTTCTCTGGGGCCGCGAGTTTGAGATCCCTGGTCTAGATTGGAGTTGTTCAAAAAATATATGATAGTATTTTATCATGAATGATGATTATACCCCTTCCGGAATTTCTTCTATAGTACTACCAAAAGTTGATGAACCAAATATAACACAGGTGCAGTGAGGTACCCGTAATCCTCATTTCCAAAGCTGTTTTAAGTATGTCTGGCGTGTTTTGTGCCTTTTTACAAATAAGACCGCTTATGCAATCTTACGCTTTGGAATTTTTAGTTATTTTCCTCAAGCCCTGCAGGATGTGGGGGCCATACACAACTCTACCGGAGGGTCAAATGTCTTTGCATGCCTCCATAGGTTGTTTTTCTATTGCAATTTTCTATTTTCAATTGCATTATATTTCTTGGAATCACACTGTCACTGATATGTCGCCAGACTTCTGATATCTCCCCGTCTGCTATAGTTGTCCTGTGAATAAATAACAGGAAATTGAGATTAGACGAATAGTTGAAAGTTTTGCATTATGTCGGCTTAATTTCTTGATTGATATACTTGCTATTTCTGCTATTGCCTCTTGTGCTGCAAGAGTCTCACAATGCTTAGACGGGTTTGTCCACAACTTTCACATCTGAAGAAAGAGAGGAGATTTATTAATTTTCGTTGAGAATAAATAAAGCAGTCTATATGATTCAGAATGGAAAAGCTAATAAATCCAATATCTCATGTTTTATTTAAAAAATATTTTACTGAATTTGGTATATAAACCAACTAATAAAAGGGTTTAGTCAGAAAATTACAAGCATTCGTGACTCCAAATACTTGAGAAATCAGACTATACAATATAGACCGGTATGAGTGAAATGTTAGGTGAACTTGTTAACACTTTGATTCAATACGCAAATAAAAGTGAATGCGTAATAGTATGTTACAATGAGCAGCAATCAACAATGAGTATATATCCTCACTGATTAAAAAAATCTAACTGGAGGTGCATGAACTATTTGAAACCATAAGGGGTAAGTAAATATGTAATTTCGGCAAATGGGCAACTACGTACCGTACTGAATTAATAACTTCGTAGTATTTGACAAAGGCTGGCTTTCCCACATGTACTTAACAGTGCGATGCCCGGGTGTGATATACAACAATAGTATTCACCTTACCTTTTACCGATTTCTTTTTACCCCAACTTTCAAAAATATCATTAAAATCGACAACAACTGTCAAAGCAGGCACGAACACCATTCGTGCTACGCCTTGAAAGCAGCACACATCCGCTCGTTTTCGTCTCGTCAAGTATGTGCATTGGAGCGTGCTATCGAATACGATCTTCGGACAAAAATGCCGGAGTTGCGCATCATGTTGTTTAATGTCATTGGTCCGCGTTTGTCACTTTATTGTACGATAATAAATAGAAACAGACTGACAGAACGGTGCGGTCTTTATGTACCGTATGTATGTTTATTTGTCTCGTAAAAGCAACAAAAGCGTAGATAGATTATTATTACTGAAGACGGGATGTATGTACAATACCATACTGGCCTAAAACACGAACGTGTGGCATACTTATACTTATCAACTTATGCACCCCCTTTGGAAAATTTCAAAAATAGCCTAAATAAATCCCTTTCCTTAAAGAATGCCAAAATATAGGATTAGGACAGGTTAGGGTTGACAAGCAGTCGGTTGATTAACGTTTAGATTAATACGATACAGTAATACAGGTTTCTATCACTGCACTGTCGCTACCTTTACTACTATCTGACTATACCAGCTGCCTAATCACTAATTTAACTTAGTCTATAAAAAAATCTTTTTCGCTCTTTCTGGATCAAATTGATTTCTATAGTCCTGATGCTGATAATCTGTTTCTATCATATTCCCCCTATTTGTAAATTACAAAAAAACTTACATTAGACTAGTTCGTGAAACTCGGAGGGAGGGAGAGAGTTTATTTCTGTATTTGTTTGGTCCACCAGCAAACATATACACACAGATACAACAAAAACATAATTAATAGAAAGCCAAATACTGAAATGGTTCTCGGTACAGACTGGGTGGCAACGATTCGACCATGCGGCCATCGTATAGACAGTTACCACTAAATACTGCAATATAAATTTCAATAAACATGAATAAAAAGTGCTTCAGATATCAGGATATAGTTTAACATGTCTCAGGTGTCAGGGTGTGTCCAAAAACAACATTAAATTTCCATATAAAGAAAAATAAAATATATTAGTTACATTTAAGTTAAGCGTTAAAAGCTAAATAAAATGCCAGACAAGTTGCACATTTTATTAAGTGGGGCATTGGCCGAATTTGACATTAATATATATTTTTGAGTAAATGGCAGAATTTCAATTGTGTCTGTGTGTGGAATCGATTAATTCAGGGGTACATGTTCACTAAACACTGTACTTCTAGTTGGCGTGGCACGAACATATTTGCATATGTTATTCCTAACCCACACCTGGCTGCATTATCCAAAAATCACGTCACTATGCTGTCATAGAGCTTGCCAAAGAAAAGTTACAATCGCCTGAAATGGTATCTCCGCCAATGATAACGAACTCGCTAACGCCAGCGATTTCTCTCATATATCGGGATCTTGATGGCGTTTAGTAAACTAGCCCCACTTCAAGTCTGCGAGTTGAGGAATACACAAAAACATTTTGTGTAAATGGTGAAAGACCTAAGGCAGCATATATACAGATATATAAAGCAGGCCTGCACAACTCAAATTATCACGAGGGCCGCAAGCATAAATCTGAAGGCCCGGCGGGCCGCAAACTTTGCCACATACATATTTCACAAGATGAACTACAAATCAAAATAATATTGTGAAACAGTTAAATTTAACGAAACACTTCCATTGCTGGGAAGCTTAAAAGTATGAGGAATCTTATTTTCTTGAGTAAAAACAAGGTACAGTATTTTTGCACATGAGATGGCAAATATGTATCTAGTGGTTCATCTACCTTGAAAACTCTCTCTTCATTTTCAATATTTCTTTTTTATTAGAATTAGGTATTGCGTGTTGCAGTATAAACTGATTGCAGAAAAATATTTTACTCAGGTTCAGTTTTTTAAAGTCGTCCTAAATATCTGTACGACACTTTATTTAGTCATATCTACAATTATTAGGTATTTCCAATGTGGGCTAGACAAACAATCCATTTAGTAGCAATAGATCTTCATCTGTTGTACTTTTTTGACTGTTAAATTACATTTTTCTACAAAATCTGCTCCAATTTATTTGAAATTTTACAGTAAATAGCAATATCTTTTGTGCGAGAATTTCTGCACCATTCATAAATGAAGGAATCCATTTTTAACTTCTAAATTTGAATCAAAAAAGAAACTTCAGTTTCATAAACTGCTAGTAAAAATTAATGGGGTTATTAATAGGTTGCTAATATGCACCAATGGGTGTGAGATTGTATACCGATATTGTTTTAAGCGTGATTCAGTCTGGATACTGAGATATCTAAATCACGGTTTCCCAAATTGGGGGGCGAGGGGTCGAGAGAGGAATTTTAGGGGTCGCGAAGGGCACATCAGTTTTACACAAAGTTCGATATTTATTGAAACTATTGCAAAACATAAATCTCACGATTTCGAATATGATCAGGGTAGGGGCGCGCTTGCATAACAATGCCGGCTTTGATTGTTAGACCCGAGAAGTGATGTGTTTTTTAAATCACCCGCGGGCCGCACAGAAGTATATAACGGGCCCGTAAATAATATAATATATATAAATTCTGATTTATAAATTCCATAAAAATATTTCACGCTGCGTCAGAAGTTATGTCGATCTCACATAGATCATTTTTTGCTAACTTCCGAGACTACAGCACTGTTGATTTTGTTTGTGCCAATAAAATCTGACTCTTCATTTTCAGAATTTAGTTTATATTTAACTTTGAATATCATACTGGTACTGGTGTCAATAAATAAGCATGAAGACGCAGAAATCAAAAATGAAAGAAAGTAGTGATTCTGATTCTTTGGCAGAAGAGATAGCTCCAAAGGTGAAGAAAAGTCATAAACATAAGAAAAAACACAAAAAGAGAGCTTTAGACCATGAAGACCCTGTTGATGGTGTTATAGAAATCAGCGATGATGAAAAATCTTTAAAATCAAAAAAGCATAAACATAAGCATAAAAAAGCAAAGAAACATTCTTCCCGTAAGCGAGAATCATCATCGGAAGCAAGCGATGATGAACAATCGAGTAAAAAGAGAAGAAAAACAAAAAGTTCTGATGAAATTATTGAAGAAAATGGAAAGACTGAGCAGAATGCATCTACAACGACTGGTTTTGATGGAGCATTATCAGATTTAGAGCAGCAAAAAGCATTGTTACAGGCTGCTCTCATGAATAATGTAGAAGAAGGAGAGGTTTCTGATGATGTTCAAGCAGATGGAGCAGGTAAAATACATTTTGCAGTAGAGTAATTTAATGTTTTAATCAACTTTTTATCAGTAGATCACACTTCTCCTTTACGATACAGTCTGTCGGCTCCATAACATCGCAAATCAGTACTGCTCAATATACTGAAAGGACGAGCATTCTAAAATGCCATAAAATAATTTGATTTACAGAACGAAAACAAATTCTACCGTAGTATTCAATAGTTTCTAGCAAAAAACAGTTCACATGAGTAGGGATGCCACTTTTGGATTTACGAATCGGATCGATTCGAATCGCATCTTTTCCGGATCGATTCGAATCAGATTTACGCGATTCGGAAAAAGAGAGCGATTTAGCGAAAAAAAAACATTGAACGTTTGTTAAATCGTCGTTTTCGGCGGCTTTAAATCTGCCAGAGTGTGTTTATGCGGCACTCCAAGTAACGCCAAATTACGGGACCGAAAAAAAAACATTGAACGTGTGTTAATCGTTGTTTTCGGCGGTGTTAAAACTACCGAATGCGTTTATGCAGCACTCCAAATTACGGGACCGAAAGAAAAACATTGAACATTTGTTAATCGTTGTTTTCGGTGGCGTTAAAACTGCCGAATGCGTTTATGCGGCACTCCAAATAGCAACAAATTACGGGACGTAAATAAATGAAAATGGATTTTTCGTGATTGACTTTTTTACTTGTCTGCCGTCATTTGTTTCAAGTTCGACACAACACACTCTTTTACGCATCACTCGAGATGATGTGTGGCGTAATTACCAGCAAACTGCGAGTTCAGTTTTCCACTAAATAGCCGAAGTTTCCATTATGCGCGAATTTAAATGGATCGTATACCTGAAAATTCGTGACAATTTTGATGAAAATTTTCAACAGCACACCTGCGCTGCGACTAAGTTATTGTACGCCCTGGCATGATTGGATAAAGAATCGGCCACCGACGTCTAGATAATGTTTAATTTTGATTGAAATTTAATTTAAACTTTGTTCTGAGAGCAATATTTTGCGTACATTTGAAGAGAACTATTACTGAATGAGTTCATCGGCCGGCAATGTTAATTGACAATCATGTTTCTCATCCTGAAATATATATTTATTTTGTTTACGTTTGTCAGGCTTCCACTCGAGTGGCGGTAAACGAAATCAGGGGGACATAATGTAATAGTACATACACGTCTTTTTTCAGCTGTTACAAAAAAAAGTAGTATTTACTTTTAATTTTGTTAGCGCGATACAAGCGAATAAAACATTTCGGATTATTTCGAGCAAATGTCATAACGGACAGGTGGGAGTAAATAATACTTGAGGAATGGCAACTTGTGCACTGTTTTACATCAACACATGGCAGATTTCATACCAGACCGAGCATACTGTGCGAATGTCGTCTTACTTTAGCCCCAGCGACCATGTCCGATCGAGATAAAGCGTCAACCAATTATCGCTCGTCAGCGCGGCGTCCATTATGCACATTTGGACTTTCTGAATTACGAAATTAAACGTAGTCCACATTAATAATGAAGCCCGAGTTAGCCAATAACGCTGTTAGCCACAAATAATACTTTCTCTAATATTTATGGATTTATATTTATTTATTTTAATTTAATCGTGGTTAATTTTATCGTCTTCAATCATATTCTTGTAAGCATTTCCCATTTATAGTAATTCAGATGCAATTAGAATGTTTTTGTCGTATTACTCTATGCTGCTAGCATAAATATAAAATATTGTACTAAGATTTTGAAGATAAAGAATCGGTAATAAGGCCGGCCTTAATTCAATATAACAAGAAGGGAAATACCACAGTCACATATACTGGTGTGGGACAAGGAAAAGCAGTGCTGTTACTGTGTTTACGACATAACAGTACAACTGTTCCCTGCTTATTTTCTCATATGAATTCCATCAAATTGCCTCAGCCCTGATACAAGTATAACACAATAACTCAGTATTGTAAGACTCACAGATAAGTTGCAACAGCAAGTTTTTCATCAATGCATTTATTAGTGATATCTATGACCTACATCTTTTTTATCATGATGAAAATAAGTGTGGCTTATTCACTGAAAAACCCTTATCATCCTTGCTATATAGCCTATTCCATTTTCAAATTTTTTTCTTCTAGATTTGAGCTTTTTTGTGACTTTGGGCAAACATACGCATGTAATAAAAAAAAAAGCTTAATGGAATCAGATTCGGAAAGATTCGATTCGAAAAGTTTTGATTCGAGATTCGATTCGAAAAAAAATGTATCCAGAAGTGGCAACCCTACACATGAGAGGATTTTGGTCACATGAAGTTTTGCACATGCTGCAATTGATTTATATTATTAACGCAAGAAACATGGCATGGTCTTGCAACTCTCCGCCATGCCAGACATCCTCGTTTCTGAGATAAATAATGTGTTTGTTATTAATATTACAATATTTTGGAATCTGAGCACTGTACCCTACTGTGTTTGAAGTTTTTGCCATAGAGCACTCTGCTAAATTTTTTACACTGTTTTGGTTAGATGTTTTATTGTGATTGAACATTTGTCGAGCAGTGTTCAAACCTGTCTCTTCGATGACTATCTTATTATACATTCGACCATCAAACATCCGTTCAGTGATTCAAGTTAATTTGTAGGCGTGTAGTAAATGAATTATCTGTGTTTTTAGTTGATATACACAGCTCAATTGATATTTTCTTGTAGTATTTCATGAATCACAAGCAAAATGAGGATTCTCTTTTAAAGCAAAATTGTTGTTTTTGGTAGAAATAGAAGCAAATGGTGAAGAGGAAGCAATACAAGATGATGATGATGAGAAAACTTCTACTAAACCAACAAAAAAGAAGAAAAAGAAAGATAAAAAAGAGAAAAAGAAAAAGGAGAAAAAAGAGAAGAAATCGAAATCGCCACCTTCGATTAAAAGGGTTGAGAAACAAGTTGTTTCACCTACCAAACACAGTTCTAATGATGCAAGAGAAACAGAACATTCCAGAGCCAGGTATGAATTGATTTGTTTAGAAATTATTACTTGATTTAAGCTTATTAGTATAGTATGAGTTTCTGCGTATAGTATAGTATCTTGTGAATTTTATCTAGTACAGTTATGACAACTTTGCTTCAGGGTATGTGTTACTTTATTATTTCACATTTTTCTGTATTTAAGATCTGCACTTTGCATGGTATTACATGTTTTATTTATGCATTTTAGTATTTCATTATAGTCATTATATTATGTTGAATTTATTTTGTCAGGCATTATGAAGAGAGTCGTGACTCTAGAAATGATCGTTTGCTTGAAAGAAGAGATGATTCTTATGCAAGACGTTCTCATACTCATCACTCAGATAGAGATAGATTACATCGCTCGGGGTAAGTCAGAAATTATTCCAAAGTTGGTAAACTTCCCCCTCAAACCCATCTTAGGCACAAGAAATTTATAAACAGGAAAATATCTACCGGTAACAGTTCCAAATAAGCCTCATTTTAATAGGCTATGATTCTATTTCTGACAGTTTCTCGGTAACCATTTCCATGAAGATTTTTACCTCAATAGTTTCCCATTTATAAGGTGTATGCATTCACATACATATAAATAGTGTGTTGAACTTGCCAAAACAAGAAAAAAAGAAACATTTATCTCACTTTTTCTTTTAGTGAATCTCGCAGAAGATCGCATAGTAGATCGAGGGATAAAAGAGATTATCAACATTCAACATCAAGTAGACCTAGCCATTCGTCATCAAGAAGAAGGTCAAGGTTAGAGCAATAAAATAGTTCCTTGTCATTCATTAATAACCTGTCAAGTTGTGTGCCATTTAGGTACACATACTTCGGGAGCTCCGAATTAAGGATATTAAAAACAATGTCATGGTACTTCAATATCTAAATAATTTAAATTTTTGTTTTTTCGACGCTTATTCATATTTTTTGCTCCGAACAAGCCTTGTACAATCATATACTGATGTTGCATAATATGTAATGAGCTACTATTTTTGGAATCTTAATTCGGCATCACCTATCCAATTTATTATACTCTGGGTGAAGGGGTGGACATGGAATTTGAACCACTATGAGTGTATTAGAAGCAACATAGTTAGGTCTAGCACTTTAACAACCACTAGGTCATCAATCCCATTAGCCTATCTATTTAAATTCACGACAGATTGAAGTCACATTTTATTATGTTGTGATGGTTTATGTGACCAATTCTTTCAATAGGAATTGTCACATTATTTTATATAAACAGTAATTATGTACATGCTAATATTATTTTGGACGAATATTACCGGTAACTGATTATTCTTTTTTTTCTTCACACTTTATTTTCATTTTTTAGTTGACATGAAAAATTGTCCAAAATAAGTGCAAATGACTGTCTAGTTTTATGGGACATGTGTGTATCCTTCATATTGGTGGCTAACATCGAACAGATCCACTAGCTTTGATTCAATAAATGGCCATGTCTTCAATTTAATCAATCAAAATTCCTAAGTACTGCTCATCTAAGGAAAGGATATAAAGGAATACATTGCGAAAATTAAACAAATTTAATTTTTCAGGTCACGTCATCGCTCCCATAGTAGAGACAGGCCCATGCGAAGATCTCGATCTAGAGATAGAGATGGAAGGAGACGAAGAGATGATGACAGGTATAATAATTAAATAAATACACGAAATAAAATAAACTTAGTTTTGTTTGGGGAAGCCAAAAAAAGTTTTTTTTTTAAATTTTGACATAATTTTAGATTTCGAGTCAATGATCTTTTTCAGTAGATCATCTGAGTGTGATTATCTGACATCATCTTTCATCTGAGTTCATTATTAGGTTCATCATTATTTTTGATTTCATCCAGCTCCATACTTGAGATTCCTAGTTGAGATATATTATAGAGTGAATCATTCAATGAGAATAGACTTCCTTGTTTACTTCCACAAATAACATTGCCTAATCAGCGAGATATATCAGAGGTGATGCAAGGATCAAACATGATTGTGATTTGTGAACATAAGCTTGTTTCATCGTTTTGCTTTTAATTATCAAATTTTCATTTGTGTTCTTGAAATTTGCTCGTTAATCAAATATCTCAATGGTCACTTTGGTCATACTATAAATTGCGGTAATCAAAATGTCCAGCTACGATAGACTAAAAATGAGTTGCAATGGTAAAGTATGGGGGAAAAAATTTCTGGTTGATCTAACCTGAAAGTTAATATTTAAATTTTCATCTGTTACAGACGTTATGACAGAGATCGTAGGCGGCGGCGTCCAAGTCATAATGAAGATAAATTTAAAGGAAGCTTGTCAGAAGGAATGAAATTAAAGGAATCTTCAAGTGAGAGTGAGGTATGAACTCAATTACCATTGCAATATCAGATAAATAAAATAATATTGTAAGTGAATATATTAGTATGAGATGAACCTATGTTTTCTTCACTTTTAAATAGGAAAACATTGTTATAAATGTAATTTGGGCTTAAAGAACATAACAGTTGGTTCTATTGTAGCATTTTGTTATTGTTTTCATACCAATGGCTCAACTATATCTTGTCAGTCTTATTTAAAATGAAGTTTATGGATCGTTTTATTAATTTGCGGTTGCGGTTCAGAAAAACCCCTTGGGATTTGGATGTGAGATCGCTAGAACGCTATTAGTCTTATTTTTCAAATTTTTTCAGTCTGTATTTTCCAGATACCCCAAATTTTGCTGGTATCATTTATGTACACCTTCATTCATTCTTATTAGTCATTTTACTTTTGTTTTTTCATATTTGAAACGAGCAATGCTCTCCTTTACCTAAATACCATGATGGATAGGAGTCAAAAATATGCTCAGAATTCATTATTTTGTCTATGCTGTTCAGACAGTTACGAAAATGTTACTGATTTTCTTTATTATTTTTATCTGTAAACTGGTATAAATTCTCCTGATTGATTCAAGAGTTTCTCTCTATATAGCTGTTTTGTTTCTTGCTATGATATCCTTACAGTCAGTACATACGGAGGAGAGAAAATTGCAGTAGTTATGCACATCCTACATCTTTGACATTAATCATAATTTTACTAAATTAGGTTGAAGATATTGCAATAGAATCGGAAGAAGATGAAGAAACATTAATTGAACGCAGAAGACAAGAAAGACTTGCCATTGTACAAAAATACAAAGAACAGGAAAAACAGGGACTTCGTCCAGGTATGGACACTGGTATAACTTATTTATTGTTGAAGATAGAAATCCCGCCAGGGAGAAATTTTATACAAGTATTGAGGATGGACTTTGTAGTCTGTGTAGTATTGCTGATATTTATACATGTATCGTGAACTATTCCAACTGTTCAAAACTATCAAAGATTGAACAACAAACTGAGTTATAATTTATCGTGTCTTCAATTTTGCTCTTTTCTTATAATTCTTTTGATAAAAATTTATCTAAGTGCAATCTAGTATGAATATGATTTGTACTAATTTAAAATCAACTTCACTTAAGTTACTATACTCTTTCCGGTACTCCCGAAGTATGTGAACCAAGATGGCGGATACTGGAACGTAGTATATGTACCAGGTTAGGGTTAGGCCATAATTTCAGGTACAAATACTACGGGAGTCGCTTGGCTAGTCCCCGAACTCGTCATAGAACTAAATAAGAAAATTGGAATAAAATTATGGCCTAACCCTAACTTGGTTCACATACTTCGGGAATCGGGAGTATCGTATTTCCACTCATTTCTTGCCACATAAATAAGCAAGGTTTCATCATTTGTTTGGGGGTTTTCAAAATCATGAGTTAGTCATTAGTCTTAATCTCTGGTCTGAATCCCATACCTACCACCTTAATAAATTGGGTTAAAAATATTATCAGCTCCTTTAATTACAGGGCCTTTTTCAATTAAACTTCAAATTGAATACACGTCATATAAAATATTTTCTATCACAATCTGAACCTCTACTTAGAAGATTCAAAGCCACATAGGGATGAGCAGTATTAAAAATGAATCAATCATTCCAAATGTTTTTGGTTCAAGGTTTGAGTGCAGTTGCAGATGCTCGTATGTTGTTAGAAAAAGGTCAAGAAGAAGATGACTCAGATTTAATAATTGCTGATGAACCATTATTTGAAGGAGGAAATGGTAATAATAATGGAACGCCTGCAGGGAATTCATCACCAGATCAAACTCCTAACCCATCTGGAACAAGGTTAGTCCCTTTTCATTATGTTAGTTAGGGTATATATCTAATAGGGCAGTGAAATTGTGTTTTGAGGTATTGTTCAAAGCAAGATCACATTTAATTTACGGATGCATCACAATCACAATCTCATCAATATTTGAATTTTATAATCAAATGTAAATTATCTTTGTGTTTTGTGAAATTGATTAGTGTTTTCATGTCTCATGGATTACATTGTAGAAACGTTTGTACTTCCAAAACCATCAGGCTATAGGTTTGATTACTAGCTGAAATGTCCATATCATATGTATATCGTACATTTTTGTTTTGAGTCTCTATGCAATATGAATATTGCCATCTTATCTGTTTCGTTATAAGACAAACATATACCTTTGTATGTTACATTCATGATAAACCCTTTATTATACCTATTTTAGTTGAAGAATAATTACTGGAATAATATCTTACAAGCATGAGTTGAAGCAACTCTTCGATTTATGCACCTAATTTGACACTACTGTGAATTGTACTCAATTTTATGTAATAGATAGAAATTTAATACTGTTTCACTTTTCTATGCAAAATTCCATTTTAAGAACTCAGTTTTACTTAATTTCAACTGTTTCAGGTCGCCGTCCCCCAATCTTGATGACATGATAACAAAATCATTGGCCGAAGATCTTGAAACGATGACAGCAGCTGATTTTGAAGCAGCTTTGAAAGATAAACTTGATCAAATTAACAAGTCAGTTGGCCCAAATTTTAAATAGTTACATTATTCAGCATTTATTTTATTCCTGGACTGATGAAACAAAAAGTGAAGAGACAATTGAAATTGATTTTTTCAGGTTGATATGTTTCCTCAACAATCAAGACTAATAGCACTATCTGCATCTTTGTGACATGGCCAGGTCCGTGTTTTCAGAGTCTGACTTCAAATCTTTTCAAGTCATTTCAAACATAATACCTGATTCTGGTTGACAAAATATTTGACTTTTGCTTGGATAAAACCATAAAAACTGTGATTTATGCAAACCTTCTTTCATTGTCTGTTGAGAATGCTTAGTCAACTACTCAACTCTATATAAAGTTTTTCAGTTTCGTTTGAAATTTAGACTTTAATTACCATTATTAGTAGTTGGAAATTTAGACCTGTGGGCCTGAAAATACCACCCCCAACTTCAATATCAATCCAATATTCTGATTTTTATCGCAGATTTCACTTTCCAACTCTATTGTCTCTATCTCAGTGCAATTTCAGTGTGTTATATTATATTCATAGCCGGTATATTTTTGCTATTTCAGAGCGATACAAAGTGAGCAAGAGAAAAAATTGAAGGAAGATTTGAAAGCAGGTTCCGACATGTTTTCTGAAGAATTCTCACCAGGATTGACCAACATGAAAGCAAGAGGATTGAGGGATAATATACAAAACCCTACACTCCAGGTTAGCAAGTTCATTCATTGGTACTCCCGAAGCATGTGAACCAAGGTGGCGGACACCTGAACGTAGTATGTGTACCAGATTAGGGTTAGGCCATATTTTCAGGTACAATTTCCCTTATTTTAGTTCTATTACGAGTTCGGGGACTAGCCAAGTGACTCTCGTAGTATTTGTACCTGAAATTATGACCTAACTCTAACCTGGTACACATACTACATTCCGATGTCTGCCATCTTGGTTCACATGCTTCGGGAGTACTCATTCATTTAGTAAAATAACTCCATTTGGAAACTACCTGTGAGTCGATTTCGCTGAGATATAATCCGCAAAATTAGAATTCTGACCATTTGTTTTCAGCTTTTCATTTTGGAATATATTTGCAACAGCCACTCAGACATACTTGAGTTACTGGATTCAGAATCAAACTACATAAACACATACTGTTAAGATATTTTGAATATTATAATATCACTATACAACAAAAGGGCACCTAAATTTCTTTAAAGGACTGCCAAGATCGGGGTCTTGTCTACAGCAGGATTTTGGCAGTCTATAAGCAAAAACAACAAACATAAGTCACATGAGATCTTGCTTATTTCATTCCATTCACCTTAAAGAATTATGTTGTCATTTGTGTTGATATCATCAATGACAGTGTTTGCTATTGGCCACATCTTATATGGTCTTCCAAAATAAAGTTGCCTTTATTGCATATTACTTTGTTGGAAAATTTTATTTAATTTGCATCAAAAGGTAAATTACTTTGAAAAGATGGGAGGCACTTTATAGTTTATATTGTGTTACAGTCTCACGATATATTGTCTTGATCATTTTAGAAACTTTAGCGATTTGTTTCATATCAAATTGTGATTCAATCTTTTATCTTATTTTCAGGACAACTGGACAGATGCAGAAGGATATTATCGTGTTAGTATCGGTGAAGTTTTAGAAAAACGATATCATGTCTATGGTTTCACAGGACAAGGTGTTTTCAGTAACGTTGTTCGAGCTCGTGATTCTACCAGAGGAAACATGGAATGTGCAATTAAGATTATAAGAAGGAATGACCTTATGCATAAAACAGGTTTGAAAATGTGGAATTTTTGAATATTTTTAGTTTATAGTGACTAAAAACCTTCAAGTTGTTATTTAACACCCTTTTTTAGGGTGTCTTCAAAATGTTGTGTCCCAAGTCTCCCACTTGTAACACATGTACCACGTGGGCCACGTCATTTTGGAGACACAGCCCTTTTTTTTATACAATTTCACACTTCACTCTGAACAAAGCTGTGTATAAGCAGCTACTATTTATAGATATTGTATAATGATTACCAAATTTTGGACATCCTTACGTTCCTGAGTAAGGTGGTGGTCATAGGATTCGACCCCAAGATTATTAACCTGGCAATATAATTGAATCTAATGCTCTAATGACTAATCACTAAACTAATAACAAAATCAAACAAAGTAAAAAAAATTGAAAGCTTCTTAGAGTTGAAGTTTTGGCTATCATCCTTGTGTATTGTTGAAACATATTTGAAATTTTCATTTTTTAATTTTTTTTATTAACATCCCTGTACTATGTCCTTGTCAACCATACATCTTCAATCATAATATACATCATCTCATAAACAAATTTTAATTTAAAATAATACCCTGTAGGCAGATTACACTTGCTGAGCTCATAAATAATAATTCCTCATGTACACAATGACTCAGGGAAACCTAAACATTTTGCTTGTTGAGTTGAGCTGTTATTTAATCCACAAATTTTTTGTTTTGTTTTTTATCAGGTATGAAGGAATTGGAATTTTTGAAAAAGCTGAATGACACAGATAGAGAAGACAGATATCATTGTCTTCGTTTGTATCGTCATTTTCAACATAAAAGCCATTTATGTCTCGTCACTGAATCACTCAGTATGAATCTCAGGGAATTGTTGAAAAAATATGGAGCCAGTGTTGGGCTGCATATTAAAGCTGTAAGTAGAACTTTTGGTATTGACCTTGGAGTAGATTGACAATTTAGACACATTTAGGCGATGGTGTGTGCAAAGTTTTAAAAACTGGTTTTCTTATGTATTGAAGTCACCAGCAACAGGTTCCTCATTTCAAAACATATATCTATATCACTGTGTACATTACTATATACTACATTAACATGATGCACTTTACATAAATCAGATATATAACTTTTGAAACGCCAAATATAATGCTCATCATCGGCTGCGGTGCATGTGCCTCATTCGCTGATGTCTAAAACAAAAAAAGGTTCGCTAATTATCCCAAGAACTGATTCAAACGAACGAATCTTACCACTGCACTTAGGTTGATGAGTAAGTTTCTCTTAAGATTTTGGTCCTTTCAAAACATAAAGCGCTCTGCTTGGAGAAACGGTGTATAAACACCCGTTATTTAATCAATGTATATTGCTTACATTCAAATATATATTTCATGTTAATGAATTATTCTTCATGTAGCAAAATGTAGAATTGATATACCAGCTTTAGTTTGTAGTATTATTGAAACAAGTCTTTTTTTCAAAAAAGAACTGAACGAAGCAATGTAAATACTCAATTGTAATATGGCAGACTGCCCTTAGCTGTGCTTAAACCACATGCTCTTCATCTTATACCTTTATGAATTATCTTTTTTCAACTAATATTTATCTGATTAATTTAGCAACAATAATAAAGTAGCAGAAACGGGATAATCTGGCAGGTAACTTGTCAAATAGATAGCATTACTAGTCAAGTTCTGGGTAACTGAACCAGAGTCTCTAAACTCTTAAGTCGTCATGTTCAAGTCTTTGCGATAGATCACCTTGCTTGATCACTAAGTTGAGTCTCCTCAACACTGGTTGCTACATAGGATAGGAATATTCATCATTCTCATTCTAGGGAAGAGGAAAGTCAATAAAATGGCTTATCCGTATCATGAACCACAGCATCTAGCCATGGTATCAGTCCATGTCGGGTATAGGAATGATTAACCACTTATTTGATTAAGGGGTACGGACTTAGCGGTGGAGAAAGCCATAACTGTCCAGCTGTTACTTGAACCACCCTGTGTTCTTATGATGGTGAGGAGTCCAGCAATCCTCTCGCACATATATATCCCCTACGGATTCGGACCTGTAGGCCATGCAGGGTCATAATAAGTGCGATGGTAAGTGTTTTCTTAGCCGACTGCCGTTAGCGAAGCAATATTCATAGCTAAGATAAGAATTTATAACATTCCTATCGCAAGTTAAAAGACAGCAAACACAGAAGTAGAAAGATTTTGATAGTTGAATGATGCTTCATTCTCTATTGTGTGAAACTCCTAATGTTTAATTTAGAAATCAAATTAATTTTAACTTCATCTGTTCCCAGGTTCGTTCATACACTCAACAATTATTCCTCGCCTTGAAACTGATGAAAAGATGCAACATATTACATGCTGATATCAAGCCAGATAATATATTGGTGAACGAAACCAAATCAATGTTGAAATTATGTGATTTTGGATCTGCATCTCATGTGGCTGACATGGAAATTACACCTTACTTGGTGTCAAGGTATATATATGTATGAGGAATCCTCAAATTGACAATAACAACAAGAGAGCCATTTTGGCATTTATTAAGTTAAATTATATTATGCCCAATTTAAATAAGCTATCATTTAAATTGGAGTATACTAGAGTATTGTGTACTGAACTACAATTCCTTTCTCCTTGTTTACTTTCAGATTCGTATGTGTCAGTTGCTTGATGAACAATATGGGATTACAAAGATAAATAAGAATTAACATAATCTCTTTTCACGAAAAAGTAAGTATATTTATGAGCTTTCGTTAGATCGAAACGAAAGCTCATAAATATATTCACTATTTCGTGGAAAGAGATCATGTTATTCTTATTTATCATTTTAAATACAAAGATTATTATGCATCAACATTATTTCTTTCTGACAATATTTATCTTTTTCAGATTCTATCGAGCTCCAGAAATAATACTTGGAATGCCATATGATTATGCAATTGACATGTGGTCTGTGGCTTGCACAATATACGAGTTATATACAGGTAAGTGTTGTTAGCTGTATATTTAATTTCAGTTTTTCAACTTTCTTCCTGTAAACGAGAGTGCGAATTCCTACTTTAGAACTTTGGAATTAAGATCATAGATAGGTTTTTACATATTTGCTGTAAACCAAGGTATCTCATGAGCTCTTGACTATAAGCACACAGAATGGATAGAGAAGAAACAGCAGCCTCCTACTTGCCAGAACAAACATTGAAGCAGTATTTACTGAAGATATTTTATAGATCCAAAACTATTTTTGTGAGCAACAAATCCAGAAAGGGAACGCCTAGAGATTCGAAATAAATGTATTTCCCGCTACATACATAACTGTTTTACTGAAGTTTACCATTTTTTTTCTAAATTCTTTATACAGGTCATATTTTATTCCCTGGCAAATCCAATAATCACATGTTGAAATTAATGATGAATTTGAAAGGGAAAATTCCACATCGTGTTATTAGGAAAGGAACACTCAAAGGTAATCTTATTTTAATAAGAGTAGTTCCTATTATTCCTCTGATGATATTCATTATTTTCTCTTAAATTTATATCCACCCCCTCTTTTTAGGAAAATAAGGTCCCACCTAGTGATATAAGTTTCAGAATTTCGAATCGAAGCGATTTAATCAACATCAATTCGAATCGATTCGAAGCAATTTAAGAAAAAGGGGCGTGATTCTATTTAAAGAAAAAATTTAATAGATAACACAAGGCAATTGCACGACACTGTGGTGCTGACTTTTCCAAAGCCGTGAGTTCCCACTTCCCAGAGCCGTTATATTTCATATTGGTAGCAGCTTTCGAGGGACCAATGGTTTTGGTCAATTTTGTTCGACTACTTAAAATGTTAAAAAGTTTTGCAAATATTTTAAACGTTTCTTCAAATTATCTACATAATATTATTTTAATAAAACATCATTGCTTTATACCTTATTAAAAACATGTCAGCAATGCTTCCCCGTTATCATTATTTCTTTTAAAATCATGGCGCCTGCGATATTAACTAGCGTTTATCATTGGGATGAATTTTGAAAGTCAATTTTAGAAGAAACAATCGCTGTACACCCGGTAATATTTGCAAACATAATTGTATGTAAGTAAATATGTAACTGAGTTTACCTTTATGTAACAAAAAATAAATATCAGCCGTAATATATTTGGTAGTTGATACATCCATTCGGTGTTTTTCTAGTAACTTTTTCAATTCTTTAAGCTCATTTTTGTTATTTTATCAAAATATATACTATATTTCTTCCTAGACTAGAACGAATTTATTTTAATAATACATAAAAATATGCCTTAAATGCCATCCATTTCAATAATGAATATTCCAAATTTCCTTCATGTATCTTCAATTGGAGTTTCATAGTTTTTTGAGCACTCTGGAAGTATGTGTACCAAGATGACGCACCATCTAAACCCCAACCTGATACACACACTATGTTCAGGTTGTGCGCCATCTTGGTACACATATATCGGGAGCACCATTTTTGTTATTTCAAATAATGTTTTACCGATTATTTCCTGAATAATTTTTATGTAATTTGGTTGATTAGTCCCGGTAGTTAGAAATTTGCAGATTCATTTCCAGATTATAACCGTATTCATGTTTTTCTAGACCAACATTTTGATGCAAATCTCAATTTCATGTACCAAGAAGTAGATAAAGTAACAGAACGAGAAAAGATCACTGTTATATCGACCGTTAACCCCACCATTGATCTGCGAAAGGAATTACTAGGGGGTCAAGCCCCTAGTCGAATCCCGGAGGATCAAATGCGGAAAATATTGCAACTTCAAGATCTATTGGAAAAATGTCTCTGCCTCGATCCGACAAAACGACTTTCAATCAATCATGCGTTGATGCATCCATTTGTGCAGGAGAAAACAATGTGAAATGGAATGCAAGGGTTGTTTTGAATTATTTGTAGATTTTAATGCTCTGCTGGTAAATGAATTCTTGATACGAAAAACAGATGGGAACATGATACTCATAGTTTACATTATTCGATGTTTGGATTCTCAAGCATTATTTAAAAAAAGCTTAATTCTCTTACTTTGTTTCTAGCATTTTTTTTTCAAAATGATGTGTTCTTGGGACTTGACACACTTTAAGTCGATGTATTTCTCCGGTTGCATATTAGATTAACTACAAAACCAATGCAATCCTTGTCCATAATCCCTTATCTACAGGATTTAACTGCTTTACTTATGTAATACTTGCATTCTGGCCTATTCGTTCTCTTTTTAGCTGGCTCCACTTCAGCCTGGATTGCTTGTATAGGAAAGAGAGTTGGAAATTTTACTATCGGATATAACTTTAAAATTGTACTTGATGCAAACATATTCTAAAACATGCCAACTCAATATAAATTTGCTATTTGTTGTTATTTCTTGGCAAATTGAATTTTTCAATAACCTCAGAATCACATCTAAAAACGAAAAGTCTATTTTTGACAACAAGACAATATAGCTTATTAATGGTATTAATGCTATTATTTGGTCTTTGTATCAATTTCCCTCTTTTCAACTGTTTGCAATTTATGATTTGGATATTTCCTTGAACTGAATGCATTTCGATTTGACATTTGTGAGTTTTACTAAAAAATTATTTGTGTCACATCAATGTTTCTCAATTGTAAATATTGCCTGTAACTTTTTTATTTGTGTCATCACAGGCGCAGTACAACCTGCTCTGATCTCGAATACTTTCTGATGAATACATACATAGAATGGTTCTTTAGAATTGACAACGTGTCCATATGAATGGTAAACAAAAATGCAGCTTATAAGGAATTTATAGTTATCAGGCTGAAATATTATTCATAGTTTTTAGTGCTCAAAATCAAGTATTTTCTTTGTTGGCTTTTTTCGCAGTGCTGGTAAGTATGCGCATACAGGGAGATTTCTATTTATGTTTTCAGAATAGCTTTGCGCATCTCGAAAACGAAAATGTGTGTCAACACACTATGAAACATATTAAATGAATACAATTGTGCATATGTTATATATGCCCGTATCAATCACACAGGTCAGATAATATATACTGTGGTGTGGAAACGTCACAAAATATCTGAATCATTGCCGCACACTTTCTCGGTTATTCTAAGAGACTCGATGAAATGCTGGAATAATCCAAAACATTTTACTTCATTTTCAGTTTCATCGATGTTGAAGTGTCAAACATGATTTGATGTTGTTTGCTTGCGAGCAGATTGTATCGACTCTGCATGCAATTTATATTGTGGTGAGCAGGCAGCATAGATAGGATTTTACTTCACTTTTAGATATATATCTTTGGAGCGACATCGCTGGACCCACTTAATTACATACAGATTGATTACTTCCCTGAATAGCTGGTTAAAAAATAGAGAACTTACTCATTTATTTCTTCTAGTATGTTTTCATACTTACAGGAAATAGGTTTTGTTACCTCAAAATTGAAGTTATTTAAGTACGATACCCAAACAATTAAACAACTCTTTCTGTAACCATTTTGGAATTGATTTTGCAAAAAAAGATCTACATTTCACAAAAAATGTATAGAACATAGTTTCCAGAATATAAAACCATTCAGATATATATACATTCCTGACTAAAGTTGTTACGTATCTTATGCTTGTTTGCCATAGAATATTCGCGTGTTCACAATCCACTCATTTTAAAATGAGGTTTACCTGCAACATGAAATTGGTGTGACTTGTACTTTTTATTTTTAATGCAACGACTGCACTTCAAATGGAATGAGTCGGAAAGTGGCAAGGAATAGTTCTTTGTACTACTGAACTAAAGGCTATGATGAAGAACTCTTTTTTGGACATGATAAATAAATTTTGGGTTTGTATTTGAGATTTTTATAATTTTCAAAAACTTATACGATATTCAATTCGTTACAGAGATTCCAAGCAAGTCTTTGTGGAAGAAAAAGATTAGTCTTCATCCAAATGAAAGCTTCTTGCCTTGGAATGTGTAAGTCTTGTTGCTTCAAAAACTAGCATTCGCATGCAAGTTGGTTGTGTTTCTCCTTAGCTGATGGGGTGTATTTGATCTTGGCTCATCAGTATCTTCTTTTTCATGTGAATATACTAAATTGCCCTTTTTCTTGAGTGTTTGCTGTTCATTAAGATAATTTGTAATCCTTTGATATACCTAGTTTGTATTGTTTGCTATCTGAAAAAAATTTTTGCATTTGCATTTCATTTCAGGTAACATGTTCGAAGTGCGAATCACCTGGGGCTTGGAGTAAAGATATCTCATGAAATAAAAAGCATTTATCGCATACTTAATCTGTTTTGTTTTTTTTCATACTTGTCCATCATTGAAAATATGAAGCCTTCATCCAACAAATAAAATCATTCGATGATTATGGATTTGTATGAAAAGGATGATTAGTATTTGATACCTGACTTTGAGTCTGCTAGTCGGTAATGCTTGCAAAATTCATAATAATGGACAATTGTAATTATTAGTTACATCATAGTCATTTGTTATTGTTACAAATATTGCTGTTTTTGATTTTGCTCCTTTCTGTTTCTAAAGGTGACAGTGCATAAAACAAGCACTTTGATTTTATAAAGTCTCGTACCCATTTGCTAAAATGCAGTACAGTATATAGATAACTTCACATGCATTCGGCCAGATTACTCTTGATTTATAATGCTGTAAATTTGACAATTCTATCAATAAATGTATTTCTCCAGAATTTTTATTGTCTGGCCTATAGTAATCCTATAGAGTTTGAAAACTATACATAGTTGTGCTTTATAGGTATTGTGTACGAAATTGATAGGGAAAGTTGAAAACAAAGAAAAAATATTGCAACTGCCCTGCCGAATTACCTGTCGATCAGTATTAGAAAGCATGTGTGTTATGACAGGCTGTAAGTATGACAAGCAGTGTCCTTATTAAAGCATGTTATGTACGATTCGCTCATAAAGCCATATATACTATAATGTTTGTCCCGAATAACATCCATCGAAGAAGTGAGTATCTGCTGATAAAGTAAACTAGCTGCCGAAATACATGCTCGAATATATCGAATTGCTTCAACATGGTTATTTTCATTTGCGTCTACCTGTCGTGTCGCTCTGTTGAGGGTTATCCGATTATGTCTTCCCGTGGGAACTTCTCACAGCCGATTGATTGCTGCCGCGACATTGCATTCTGAAAACTGCCATCTAGATTCACCCTTGATTAAAATTTTATTGACCGCACTGGGCGAGACGTAGCCATTTGCCGGTGATCATACGGTTATTATTCCAGAGTTGACGAGTATTGTTATGTCACTGTTAGATTAGTTGAAAATAGCGGCCGTTGTGGAGAATTCTAGTTTCGGTTAACGTCATGATAGATCTTCGTTAGTTTCGCTATGTATAGTTTTGGATACATTACGTGATCATGAAATTTATGGATTTGTATCTGCTGTGGAGCTTTGTATACTTAGTTGAAGTTTCAGGTAAGTTTTCTATTGTTGAACTTGAAATATTTCGTCTGGCATTGTTTGAACGTAGTAACTCCTGGCGTGTAAGTCATTTGCGATCGATTAAAAAAGCCTTCGTTAAAATTTTATTTATTTATTCCCAATAATTCGGCAAGAACCGTCCTGTTGTTAAGTATATTAATACTGTTGCATAATTTCCCAATCACTATGTAGGTTCGGTAATGGAGGAAGAACTTCAAAGACATTTGTTCAAAGATTACAACAAACATATTCGACCTTCGCAGAAAGTCAGTGACGTCATTGAAGTAGATTTCTTTTTAACTCTTCTCCAGTTAATCAGGTGGGTAGTGGTGTCATAGAGTTAGTCAGAATTACCTAATTTTAATCAAACATTCATGTTGGCCGTCGATATTTTTTTTCACCAATCCCGTGGCGAAGGCGGCTTTAGAATTGCTGCATGGCATTGAAAATGTTATAGCGTAAATATATACTACTACGGTTATAGCAGTCATCTTATTCAGTGTATATTGTGTTAAAATGCCATGGATTTACGTCACATTTCGAAAATAACTATCATTAAATACAGTCATTTTACACGAATTGTTTTGAACTTTCTTCACATTGAATTGACACAATTATTTTCGAACGCGTTTCAGTATTGCAGAAAAATCAGAAGAAATGACAACATCACAATATATAACACTACGTTGGCAGGATCATCGACTAAAGTGGAATCCTGCTCAATTTGGCGGTATTAAAACTATTCGTCTCCCGTCGGAAATTGTATGGAAACCCGATCTCGCTCTTAGTAACAAGTAAGCTTTACTTCAATCTGTAATTTATAGCTTCAATTTCTGACTCAGATGTGATATCCTATGTATATGCACCGTTTGCTAATATTTATTCATATACATATAAGTTGAAAAATACGACAGGAAAATAGGAAGTTTTCAAACTTTAAATGATTTTTCAACGTCTCATAATCTAATTTTTTAGGAATTAAAAGTTAATCGAGGCTGTGACGTCTATGTTTTGGTCAACTACACATTTTATGAATTAATATTAACTTTATTGAGATTCGTGCCACATCATTTTTCATTTTAGTTACAAAGGATATCTTGTTTCACTATGTGAAAATTAGGATAGAATTTTTATATTTATCCGGAATACGCGATACGGAAGCCGATAAGACAACTTAATCATATGAAAAACAAAGACCTCTTGTCAGTCATCGCCGTCTGTCTTCTCGCGTTGACAACCAATAGCCCGAGTGCCATATGGCTATTATCAGACTGTCTGTTTAAAACTTATCACCGTGTCAACTGGGGAGAAGACTTGCTTGATTGCTGGACTCCTGGCACCAACCAGTGGTTCACACATGGTGGATTGAAGCATACGAATCCATGTATCTAGAACTATTGACTGGTTGGCTAATTCTGTAGCGTCCTTTATATTCATTTAAGACGTCCTCGCATAAAATGTCCTGCCCTTTGATAAATATAAATAAGGGTGATAGGGAAGAGATATCTGTATAAATATAGGCAATTTTTTTTAAATATAATCATATATAGATAATAAAGAATGTTATTTAGTTTGTATAGCGAAATACACATTTGCATTTTGCTTGGCTGTTAATTCGATATCCGTCTATTTGCCAGTATTGATGGTTACTACGATAAAACTGTTCCAGTCAACGCCCTTCTCAACCATACCGGAGAGATAGAATGGCTTCCTCCGGCAATATACAAAAGTTCGTGTAGTATTCAAGTGGAGTATTTCCCATTTGATTGGCAGAATTGTACTTTGAGGTAAGATTGAGATTTCCGTAAGTATTACCTTCATTTTGGCGTAAGCCATTGTTGTTAAAATGGAACAAAGAAGCTCCACAACCTTCGGTTATGACGTATCAATTTTTAACATCTTTCTGATACGATTGACATGGCAAAACAACATTGTTATTAAATATATTTTGGGATTTGGCTTAGCGCGACCCTGGATTTCCGGAAGACGCCTAACCGTAATTGTAATTGACAGTAATTATAATTAATCGTTTCTGCAGGTTTAGAAGTTTTACGTATAGTACAAAAGAAATCTGGTTGCACAGCGTTTATAATAAGGTCGTTGTGGATAGAGAAGCATATACTGACAATGGTACGTTAAATGTTAAACGTCTAATAATGATATATATTTATAGATAGAAAACCTAAATTTGTCGAGATTTTAGTAACATCATACATATTCTATGCCAAATCAATATGAGTTTTTGCATGGGAGCAAAAAAACTGTATCGTTAGGCGACCCATTTTTTGTCGATTGTCGTCTTTCGTTTGTCTGCACTTTCATTTATCCGTTTTCAGAGAGGTACACAGCTTGGGATACCAAAATAATGTCATCCCTGTTTCTGTTCAATAAATGAATAAATTCATAATTCATCCAATCAGCTAGTTGTATTATCCGATGAGTACCTTAGTATTTATATATATATACTTTAACCTGTCTAAGAATGTTCACACTTTATTTTTAATTCAGGTGAATGGAGAGTAATTCACTGCCCGATAAAAGTCAATTCAGACCCAGGAGATCCGAATTATCAAGATATTACTTTATATTATATCATACAAAGAAAACCACTTTTCTACGTCATAAATATAATTATACCATGTGTTTTAATTTCGTCGTTGTCAGTCCTGGTGTTTTATCTACCGAGCGGGTGTAGCGAAAAAACAAATATGAGCATATCCGTGCTTCTTGGTAAGTATATTTTTATTTATCAAATTTAACTTATGAAATCGTATTGAATTAATAAGACGCCATTGGACATTCAGATGATCTTCCATGGCGTTAAATATCTTTGAATCTTCAATTTAGTTTAGTATTCGAAGTGAATTTCTCAAAGTTAACGTCCGCTTAGTATGACATAGCGAACGATACTAAGTTGTATTCCCACATCAGCGTCCCCGATCATGACCCGTCACTATATGCCTAAAACACTCCCAAAAATGTAAATCAAGTTGTGGAATATTTATTCTAAATGCACGATTCTAGTAACATCAATGTGACAATTTACCTGATTATTCAAAAACTTATTTCATTACAATATGTATGTTTGTTTTCATCTCAAATCCCCATAAAATTTTAATATCAGAATATAAATTATATTGAAAATAAATTAGTTAAATCGGAATGATAGACTAATATTGAATTTCATAGGTCAGTATAAGCATGATTACAAAATTCCTTAAAAACCCGTCGCCAGTAGTATAGATCTAATGCTGCCACAATCTCGGCGTATTCATCGAAAATATTGGCATCAGTCTATAGTTTATGGGTAATAACTCGCCTTAACCCATAGTTTAAAAAAATATGTTGACATAGAAGACATCACAATCAACTTTCAAATCGATACGTTTTGACTTCAATCACTCACAAGCTACTAAGCTCATTGTTCGCTATCCCAGTCAGCTTGGGAATTGAGATTTGGTAAATTGAAAAGAGTTTAATCGCAATTTAATATAATCCCACTGTCAAAATTGAAAACTCAATTAAAACCCCTTCATTTTATCCCACTAAACACACTTTCTAATTGAAATCCGCGTACGATACGTTATCGGAAAATATGCCAGATTGTTTTTGAAAAAGCTTGTCACTAGGACTATTTATTCATCCATAATCCGACAGACGCAATTTACGTTGGTACATATTTTGATGAATACTTTTTAAAGATTCTGCAGATTACTCGTTGTCGCCCTCTCGTAGGAATATTATTTTATTATTCTCCTCAAATTTGAATTTCCTATTGGAAGCATTTTGTAGCTTAGAAAACATCGCAAATATGATCAAATGAGTCTTCAATGTATCGTGACATGTTTCTCAATATATAAAGGGAGAGATTTTCATTTATATTATATACACATGTAAATATAATTGAACTATGTATGTCTGAAGAAGTCTGACCTTGGTCAGACGAAACATTACAGAAATATATTTGTGGTATCAATAAGTTTATACACATACAGGCTTACCTGTCTACTTGCTTCTCTTGGCAAAGAGAGTTCCAGAAACATCACTCGGAGTACCTTTAATTGGAGCTTATCTACTCTTCACGATGTTGAGTGTTACATTTTCCGTCATTTTCAGGTAAGATTCCGAACCAGCTGCACATTTCAGTCAATCAATATTTAATATTTACGTTCCACTCCAGTCGATTTTGATGTTTTTAATCAAATCGTTTAGTGTGTAAAACGTGTTGTGTATGTAGAACTTTTGTCAGAAACGTGAATGTTTCACTTCGACTAAAACTGAGAGGTAAACTCAGATTTTCAGTGACAATTTTTATTTGCCTATAGTGTAAATGAATCTATAGAAATATGTATGTTCAATTTTCCTAATTATTTTTGACATAGTCTGGATGTATTTCAATTTGCTCATGAATTCCGTGGTTACAAATAATAAAGAGCTATGGGAGCCTCGTGGCAGCAAGATTATTATAACAATTGTTGATGTTTTCATATAAACTTTGTAGATGCAAACGGTGTAATCCAGTGTTCCCTAATACGGAAATTGAAATACTGTATACTGCTTGACTGATATTTTTATATTTTAGTGTTATCGTACTCAACATTTACCATCGATCGCCCACTGCATATCAGATGCCTCACTGGGTCCGAACTGTATTCATAGAGTTTCTTCCTCCTCTTCTTCACATGAACACTATTTTACCTCGACTACCCTGTCATTTTTCTGGGAATAACACAGATGCAAATACTTCATCTGATGATGAAATACCAGTACGTATGGGGTTGATACTTTGCTAATGCTTTTTGGATGTTGCTCCAACCTTTGACCCCCGGGAAAACCCTTCTATAGTCTATACTTTACCATAATTGCAAAATTGTTTGTTCTCAGTATGTGAGTGGTTTCGCGAGAATGCGCCTGTTAACTGATTTATATGTTTAAAACATTCATTTTGAATCGAAATATTCAACAACCTGTCATTTTAAATTATCGGTAGAAAAGTTTAGCCAAGGTTATCCCAGCTATTTTTAGACTAATTCTGAATATTGCAATTAAAATACAACTCTTAAGAAAATCATTGAGATTTTTGATTCATCCTTAAATTTCCCAAACACAAACAAAAACTAACAAATAGCATGCGAAAACGAAGTATCATTACTCTAATATCATGCCTGAAAATCTGTCTGAGTGACAAAAGTGTCTGAGCGGCTGCTAAAACGTAAATTGTTACGTCACGTTTTGCATCTTGCTCTGGGCTCCAGAGTTTCATCTATCGCTATTTAGTATATATATCTAATTTATAAGCACAGATTTACGTTAGCAACGAATGCAGCCCAAGAAAAAAGCGTGCGTCAATATATCAGACTCCAATCCGAATCAATTTTTTCAACACTATATAATATATTGGGGTGATCTTTGGGACTTATTAATTGAATTCAGTTCACTGTTCAAACTATTCGATTCACGACAATATGATACTTTTAAATCAGCGCCACCAGCGGAATGTAATCATAACTCAATGAGTTCAGTTTGTCTTAATATGAAGTTTATGTTTGATCCAGTAAGAATTATCAACAACGCATTTGTAAGATGTTGGTATATTGGTGTTTATATCAAGTTTGTAAGTTGGTGATAAACAATCATCTGATGCCGACATGCTGTTGCATAACGATTTTTTCTTTCTTTCAGACAAATTTATCGGCTGAAGATCACATGGACAAAATCGAGAAAGACAATGAAAATGAAAGCACAAGAGAAAGCCAAACATCCTCAAACAGATGTAGTAAAAAAATATCACTACCAGAAAAAATAATACGGAGTATGCATTCAAAAAGTTGTGAAAACTTGAACGAAATTAATAGAGAGAGTGTTACAGAAGAACTGTATATTTCTTCTGCGTCGATGTCTGACAATAACACAAAGCAATATTTCAGTGATGATGAAATCGATGCTTTCACAGTTGGACAACAAAATCGTGCAAAAATATCATCTGAAAAATTAGATGAAGAAAATGAACAAGATCGACAACATTTCAAAGCTAGTGATAAATGGAAGTGTTACCGTACAGCTCAAATGGACCCTTCTGAAATATATCCCATGTTACTATCGACACCAAATAACAGTGATTTCAGTCGGAGACCTGGCGTGGCTTCGAATGTTTTGAAAGTACATTCGCTGATCAGCACCAGCTGTTCTGCGCCAACGGTCGCAGATTCAGATCACCAAGAATATTTCAGACTTACATGCCACGAAAGGCACAATAAACACAAAAGTCCAAATATCGATGCAGTACCCAGGCAGAATTTGCGACTAAACAGAGCTGATTATTTAGATATTTCTCCTGATTGTGATTCAGCGTTTGTACAAGACTCGGAAAAGGGTGAAAAAAATGAACTTGAAGGTATCGCTCGTCCCGATTTTACAGCGGAAGCAACAAATAAAGTATTTCCCGCCAAAAGAAATCGTCGTGTCGGAATTAGTCAGCCGTTGAAGCTATCCCAAAGATTGCTTCTAAAATCCGCTTCCATACAACAGCCCTCTCAAGTAGACTCACGTTTGAATGAAGAAACAAGTTCATCAGCGAGTGTTAATAAAAGAAGGTAGATTTCGTCCGCCTAGGTTAACCTCCACTAACCACCTCGAAAATTAAGCAATATTCTAGTGTTACAGTCTTACAGACTACCAAAAAGATAGCAGTATATTGTTTTTGTCGATTGTTTCGTTTAACCACCTATAAGGTATTGATGTTGCCCTAAAATTACCTTTTTATTCTACGATCAGCCCCAAATATTTGGCTTCTATAAATAGCTTTGATTCATGATTATCTGACTTAAAAAATAAAATGAATAAAATTAATGAAAGATTTCGATAATCTCACTGACTGCTTGAAGCTAGCCATCTTAATAAAGTTTTTATAAAAATTGAATAACGTTTTTAGGTAACGTTTTCTTAAAAAATTAAAGAATTTCCACATATTTTAAATTAATTTATTCATTGTTCACATTATTTACAATATACAAACAATTTGTTTTCAGACACGAAATTGTGGATGTAAAAAAGTCACGAGTAAAATACGTTGTTCACACTCTGCCTACACAAACGGACGAATGCCTTGATGCGGTCAATTTTATTTGCCAACACGTTAGAAGCGAATATGATTATAAGGAGGTTAGAAGCTATAACTTTTTTTTCCAATATTATTGTTTTGCCATCATGAGTTTTGACCGTATAATTATTTTGCATTTTGCTTTTTACAGAAATCACAGGAATGGCAAATGGTTGCTTTGGTCATTGATCGACTAACATTTTGGATATTTTTGCTGGTATACATATCTGGTTCATTGTATTTTGCTCTTCAGGTATATCTGTTTTTGTATTAGGCAATTTCCTATTAACAACAATGAACTTAATATATTCCGACGCTCATCCCTGTAATATGGAAATGCTTTTATGAGAATTGATATTACGCCTGGTTTGACGTCACACTGAGTTCTTAACCTGGTAAAAATTGGCGCATCGAGTTGTTTCGTGGAACCCAGCCGAACTATGTGTTTCTAAATTACTGAAAGAACACCACACAACTAAACTTCTGGTTCGATATCGTTCATTTGTGCTTGGCATTCCGTGGAGATGTACCCACAGCCTGCATCCACTCTAGTGTTACACACCATTACTATTCCCTACAATTGTATTGTACACAATCAAATTATTCAAATATTATTTATAAATATTTAAATTATTTATCATAACTTATTTTTTTTTGTTTTTCAGGCTCTGACAAACTTTCCCCCAGATCATCCATTCGTTGCAGGGGATCCAAAATATGCAGAATGTTGGGACGAGCATAATCATCACTATCGAGACAGAGAAAGTGTAATATAACGATACCTAATAAATCATAACAGAGATACAAGAAATTTAGAAAAGAAGCTGGCCCGAACGTCAAAGAAAGAGAATTTTACAATAAAGTAATGGGGGCTTTCTAACACGGCGAATTTAAAAAAAGACAAACTAATATATATATACCAAACGAACGCTCCAGTTCATATAATTGCCGTATAACAGAAAGAGTTTCACACGAGCTCACGAACTTTTGGAATATTGATTCTAAACTGTTCCAAACTACGAGAAGTCATTATTTTGTATTCTTGAAATAAACCCCAAAACAACTCAAGTATGTGTGATCCTTCACACCAAATTATAGGCCGGGAATAATGTTTTTATAATAAACCGCACCGAACTCGACTTGGGTCACATCTCTTTATATTGAGCAAAACCTTATATATATATATAAATATATGGGCTGAAATCTGTTTCAGAAGTGGGAGGAGGAAGATATACACAGTATCAAGATTTTCTTGTTGTCGAATGCAATTATATCATTTTAAAAGTTTTTTCGTCCATTTTTTGTCAAGTAATTTTTTTCCGAAAGCATGACAGGTATAATTTATGGCGAAATTAGGTAAAACGGAGGTACCTCAAAAATGAAGGGATGATTTGCATTTCAAATACCGCATTATTATCGGTATGCCAGCTTTCAATAGATGTTAACCGTCCGTAATTCATCAAATGCTTTGGTTATCTTGTCGCATTTCTTTAATTCGAAAATGGATATTTTAGGTTTGCATTGTAACCAAAAATTGCTGTTGGCTATCTTCTCCGTTAGTTGATGTTGACTAGTTTACTACTTTGATATATATTGAGCTCCTACTGTCTAGACTCCGATATAAAACAATTATATTAATCAGATGTGCTCAAATTGGGAGCTCCTGTTAATTTTATATAACAGATCAACTCAATTTCCATCCTTTAGTATTATTTTATTGCTCCGGTTAAACAAATTACGATCGTCAATAACAAGAAATTATAAAACACGACTTAAATCATAAAATATAAATTGTACCTTAAATAGCATTGTCCATAAGATAACAGCAGAAGTATCAAGAACAGCTAACCTTTCTCCCACCACTATATTTCCTTTGTCCCGATCAGTCTATTTGAATGGAATTGGGGGTTTCTCAATTTAGTGGATAATTTGTCTATCTTTATTTATTACTTTTTTGGGAAGAAGGTTTTTCTTTGACCAATCAAATTCTAGTTTGTCTCGTTTTTAATAGGAGGAATCTAGGATGTGCACGATAATTTCTCATTTCATCGGCACTATTATTCAGGTCAAATATCTTGTAAAGTTTATGGAATGAACTAGTTTAAGTTTAAAAATAGCGATGATTTCATTGTCCAGTGAGTATGAATCTTTTTATGCTTGTGGAAATTTACAGGTGCCAAGTCGAAAGTCAAGTTTTTAGTATTAATTGAGGTAATATTCGAGGATTTAAAGTGATAAATTGCAAATTTGTTACAGCATCAATTGACTAAAATATACAAGTTCTGTCAACTATCATTAGATTATTCTAATGCAGCGTTTCCTAAATTATTTCGGCCACGGAACACTTACACTTTTTATCTCGCCTCGCGGAACACCAAGAAAGGGTAAAATTGATAAAGAAAAACGGTGCAATGAAGCGGTTCCCAATGGGTTCGTCATGGCGAGTTGCCAATAGCGTCACGAAAACTAACAGAATTGCGTTAACATACCTAAAATAGGAGTAAACATGAGTCATTTTTTCAGCATTTCAAAGTAAAACCAGGCAGAGATGGCTTATAGCAAAACCAAAAGAATTACTGCAAACTTGATAATGAACTCAACAGTTAAAAGGTTAGGCCGACGGTTAATGAAAATGCCACTACCCTACCTTAGTTAGTCCGTTTTAGGCGGCCGACGGTGACGTGATATTGAACGGTCAGTTGGGCGACGACTTCACGATCCCTAGATCGCCATGGCGACCCATTTAGACGTTTTTTTAATTTATTTACAACGGAACACTAGTGTTCCACGGAACACGGTTTGGGAAACTCTGTTCCAATGTATAAGGCCATAGGCAAGCTTGGGACAAGCAAAAATAAAACAGTACGGGTAGATTATGTTAAACTCGGCAAAATTTTTTATGCTTAATTTGAGGGCGTTTCGGAGAATTGGCGCTTACGAACTGATTTACCTGTTTAAAACCATAATTTATTTAATGTATTCAACCAAATGCCGCTTACAGATACTGATAGCTAATTCCAGCCTAGTCTATCGCAGCTATTCCGAGACTAATTTTTGAATACTGCAAATAAACTAAAGCGTCTTAAAAGACAAAATAACAATTATTTAGTATACAAGTTATTTGATTTATACGTAATTTTTGGAACACACAACAAACAAGAGAGCTGTGCTCGAATATATGGACACGTAGAGTCACATAATTTTGATGACATTATAGTGAAAAAAAAAAGTAATAGCCTTCTGGAGAAAATTTTTACCTTTAACCACTGAAAATTTCAGAGCAATTGGTCCAGTATTCGGAGAGAAAAGCGATTTCTTCAAACGCATTGACGGAGACAAATAATAACAATAACAACAAAATTTTGAAACGATCGTTGTGTCCACTACGTGTCCAAAATTGACAAACAACACTCGAAACCGTTACCGTGCATCAAAATTTTGACTCCGCGGGTTGATATTCACCAACAGATGTCGCTTCATAACTAATGGAGGGCGAAAGGTCATCTGGATTTACCGGTTTGTTTGCTGACTTGGATTGCTTTACGCACAGGCCTTTCGCACTTTGTTGGTATTGTGTTGGACTTATTCAGTGGAAAATTGACCTAACCTTATTCAGAAACTAAAGATGACTTCTGATATTAGAGTTCTTGTAACTGGCGCAGCGGGCCAGATTGCTTATTCGCTGCTTCACTCTATTGCGAAAGGTGATGTATTTGGCAAAGATCAGCCCATTACTCTTGTTATGCTGGATATTGAACCCATGAAAGTGGTATTGGAAGGTGTTGTTATGGAGCTACAAGATTGTGCACTTCCGCTGCTCAGAACGGTTATAGCGACTACCAAATATAACGAGGCGTTTGATGCTATTGACGTGGCTATTCTTGTTGGTGCTATGCCGAGACGAGAAGGTATGGAAAGAAAGGACTTGTTGAAGGCAAACGCAAAGATATTTGAAGGTCAAGGAAAAGCATTAGAAGCATATGCTAAAAAGTCTGTCAAAGTTCTTGTTGTCGGAAATCCAGCAAATACCAACTGCTTGATTGCTTCGAAATGTGCACCTTCTATCCCGAAGAAAAATTTTTCTTGTCTCACAAGATTAGATCAAAACCGTGCCCAGGCACAGATTGCATCTCGTGTTGGGGTATCATGTGATTCTGTCTGTAATGTCATTATTTGGGGAAATCATTCTTCGACTCAATATCCTGATGTCCGCCATGCAAAAATTCGCACAAGTGATGGAAAGGTATTACCTGTTCCTCAAGTCGTAAATGATGATGCCTGGCTCAATGGAGCATTCATAGAAACAGTACAGAAGCGTGGTGCTGCAGTCATTGCAGCAAGAAAATTGTCCAGTGCTATGTCAGCAGCTAAGGCGATATGTGATCATGTTCGAGACTGGTGGTTCGGCAACTCTGTTCCTTCCTCATGTGGAGACTCAGGTCCATTCTGGACTTCAATGGGAGTTTATTCTGATGGAACAAAATATGGAATTCCAGAAGGCATCATTTACAGTTTTCCGGTGGTGATTAAGGGTGGGGAATGGCAGATTGTCGAAGGTCTTAGCATTGATGACAGATCTCGTACCTTAATGGATAAAACAGCAGAAGAACTTGTCGGGGAAAGAGAAGAGGCGTCCAAGCATCTTGGCTCATCTTGACTTGCTGCAGAGTCCCGATTGTAATGATGTCATTCGTCAATGTGGAACTTCTTACAAATTTGTAGGAGTACCACTAATTTTATGGCATTGCTAGGGATAATAATTATGGTAAATTGTGTAGTCTGTCATATTATCAAAAGTGTGATTATCATATTTTCTAATTTCTAGTTAAATAATGTTCTAGTCCAATTTCCCTAGTATTTGTTTGCTTGCATGAATAACAATTGAGATTGTCATACACTATATATCTGTTACAAAGTTCCACTCGTTTTATCTTATAGATTTTAGGAAGAAACAAGAAAGAATAACAATCTTGTTCATTTGCATCTATAAAAAATATTGATAGTGATTTTATAATTTGTAGTAATCTATATGTGTGCAAACAAGCGTTTGTTGTCGGGACTCTGGGATTATAGTTTATTTATGCGTATTTTAATTTGGGTTTAATTTCGATATGATTTTTTGCAACAAATCTTACCTTTTATAATATATAATTAGAAAATATTTTGATTTTTTTGATAATAGGCTTGATTTCAATATGATTGATCTCTTGCAACAGATGTTCCATTTCATGATGAATAAAATTGTTACGCATTACATTGAAAATTGTTTGACTATTAACAACAGCAGTTCCTATTTTACTTAGTATGTTGAAATAATTTACATTTAGCAACTTTTGGGTACAAATTATGATTTAATGCGGTGGCTGTTGGATCTACACTTAAAAGGCTCAATCTGCCTCTTAGGAGGTTTGATATGAAATTAATCTTCTAGTGAACTCTTTCTTTGCAGCAATGGTAGTATGAACTTTCACTGATAGCTATATCAGAGGTTTATAAAAATGCTATTTAATAGCATTCGATTCGATGTCGATTCAAATAGCATGATATTGTATACGATTCGTTAAATTTCAGTTATTAGAACTTCTTTGTTTTAAACTTTAGATAATGAAAACAACATCGAGCGCTTGATTTGGGTAAAAAACTTGACTATGAATATAAAAAACTCATGAAAGGTTTTTTTGATCTGGCTGTCCACATTTATTTTCGAGATTGTTACTGAACATAAAAGAAGTCCTGATAAATAGATAAAGATTTATTGAAGTACATATTGCAGTAAAATTGAAACAAACAATCATAAAATACAATCGTAAAAGGCGGTCAAAAAAATGATACGAGTACCTCAATTTTGAAGTGTTTTAAGTCCATGTGTTAGAAATATCGTTTCATGGTCATCTGGGTCTTTGAAAACGCTGGCTATGCATATATATATTGGCAAACAGAACCTCGGCGTTACGGTGAGATGAGAGAAAATTTTGGAGTGCTATGGGCTTCTGATGACGGGGGTCTAATTATCTATCGGATCTTTTGGAAATCCCATCGTGTATAATTCATTTTGCGAAACCATGTATGTATTGGAGAAATCATGAAGAAAATCTACACTTAAGTTTAATGAGAATCGTTAAAATTAAACGTAGAACTTGCTTGGAACTCTAAAATGCTGCAACAAAGTCCAATTAGCTTATAAATAATAACTTAAGCGCCGTTGTTAGGGGGTATCTAGTAACAAACTGAGATAGCCCGCCACGAAAAAGTATCCGATATAAGAATAGATAATTTCGGTATTAGTCGAAGTGTTTTTGACTGCAGTTTAGGACTGCTGCGTTATAGTACGACAACAGACATGAAATATACAAATAAATCTCTTGTACAAGTACAATACACAAGACAATATCCGTCAATTTCGGATTATAATAAATCACAATCAAAATATTTGGTAAACGTATTGATAAAATAACCGAAAATATCGGTCGGAGACCGAAGACTTATCGATCGAAATTGCGTTTTCGATTCATGACTCTATAGTGACACCGCATGTCCCATCACTGATTAATTAATAAATCGCTAATTATACGACATAACCCATCAAAAATCAATAGGCTTCTGGTCCAAGATATGATGAATGTACATGCATTCGAAGCAGATTCAACCTCGTTTTCGTGAGATATCGCATGCATCTAACAGACAAACAGACAAATACCTATCAAGATCGATAAGTAACAAGTTATGCATGAAGGGCTAATATATAGAATTCAAACCTGCAAACCGTGGAGACAAGCATGCTAATCAGGATCCTCGGCACTATGCAACAACGGTCGAATTCTTCTTCCTTACAAAATCGAAAAAATCATTAACAAATATTCAGCATTAATTTTAGAAAATCTTTAGCCTACGGCGTATCTATTGTTAGCGTTATTCTCCGTGGCTCTCTTTTATAGAGAGCCTACTAAGTTGTTTACCTAGCCTAGTGTGCTGTTGGGAATTGCACCTATTTTGAAATTTCCAGTGGAAAATACGGTTTCGTTATTGTATTACATTAAAAATAATATTTATTATGGTGGCTGAGAATGTACTAATTTAGTTCGTCGAGTCGTTGTTTTTTCTAAATAGCAACAGGCTTTGAAATTGAGAAAACTTTTTACACAGTTGATGACTACAATCAAATTTGCTGGCGACAAGATGTAGACACCAGGGGCGCAAGTGACTCACTTAACAATTGTGTATTTCCTGCTGTGTTTCCCAACCTTTCCAGTAACATGGACCCTATGTAAATGATGGGTTTTTCATTTGAGAGTTGTGGACCTCTTATAATGAAACCAGTGGTCTTCACAAGAAACAATGCTTCTCTTGCTTCAACGATCATCTAAACTGAACACAAAATTGCTCTCAAACAGTCTGGTGTGTGAGTGACTCAGTCAATGACTTTTCTTCTATGAAAAATCTGTTTCACTTGATCGGAAAACTATTGAAAATTCTTTGAAGTAAATAAACATGTTCATCTGTAATTTGCTAGTTATTGCTTGGAATAACTCAATTTGATTGTGCTACTAATTACAATATATGAATATTTCACAACACAGTCAAGTTTCGAGATATCCCGACAAGTAGGCTACGTTCAAAAACACTGCGTGGGGCCACACCTTTCCCTACAACTGAAATAGGACATTGGAAGGAGATACTGTGTAGTGTTTTAATTTTATCGTAAATAATCATTTTTCAACATCAGCTAGGAAATTCTTTTTTGTTTTATATAACCATATTGGGTACTCATGTAGTATGTGAACCAAGATGGCGGTCATCGTAATGTAGTATGTGTACCAGGTTAGGGTTAGGCCATAATTTCAGGTACAAATACTACGGCAGTCACTTGGCTAGACCTCGGAATGGAACTAAAATAAGGAAAATTGGAATAAAATTATGTCCTAACCTGGTACACATACTACGCCCCGGTGTCCACCATCTTGGTGCACAAACAACGGGGCGTCCCATATTGATGATTAACTGAATAAAATAATACGCCCTATGAGCGCAAATGTGTTCGGGATTAAAATTTGTCTGAAAATTTAATTATGCAAGCAAATCAGATTATTCAGTAGCATATATCCTTTCTATCAATTGGACGAAGCTAATCAATCCGATTATCTTTTTATTTTTAATCAAAAAATTGAAGAGCGTTATTGTCCGTTGTTACTCGTCGCCACACGACTGAAATTCAAAATCTCTGTCGGTGCTGGTGGGTAATTAGAGCTAGACAATGGTGCTTAAAAAACTCCCGCGAAGATCGTCTTTAACAATTGGGTTATTTTTATTCAATCTACCTGAATATTAATAAGTTGTGTTTGAATTTCATTCAAGGGCTACGTGTAAAATCTTAATATGATTACGTCAATTCAAGAATGCTCACGATCTCAAATATAAAGCTCTAAATATCACACTATAATTAAGTGGCACATGCGACCTTTGTTATAAGTGGTTCGTTGAATATAAGTGCTTCTTTGTGGGGTGCTCAGAATGAGCAATGGAGTTTTTGTTTGCTGTAACTGGATAGGCATGAAATTACATTTACACCGATACGCCATTCTTTCAGCACCCAATTATATGGATCTTGTGTCCAACCCAAAAATATCCAGAATCTTTGATGTTAATGTTTAAATGCCAACTACCGGGCATTCAGATTACGATGCTACTGAAGGAATACGGTTAAAACGGTTGTGGAACGGACATGTAGGATTGATGTTGTATTGTGAAAAACAGTTTATTCGAAATTCCCATATATATTTCTATTTATTAATCCGATGGTAAATGTATTGAGAACAGGATTGAATTGGTGTTGATTTATTTCATTTGTTCAATTCACAAGTATAATTCTTGCTATGGGGCATGGAAGTCTCAACATAACACGCACATACAAGTTATTTAGTTACGAAGGACTTTTCGTTTCCAGGGCAACGATCACGTTCTACAACGCGAAAGTCAACAGATTTCGTCTACGAAACTAACAACCTAATAAACCCACTGAATATTTGTCACGCTGTTATATTTGCCATATGCCCACAAACAATAGTAAAACTCTTTTCAATTACCGCAGTGGCTCGTTAGAATAACACTGAGCAGATGGTTGATTAAGTAGGACGCGTTTGATAAATAACTTGGTTAATCAATTAAATCCCAGTCGCCAAAGTTTAACTCGAGCGTATTTTAAGCAACGGAATGGAATAGACGAAGATCCATATTTTCATTGGGTTTGGGATAAATAGCCGATCGATAACTCGTGAAATATTTATGTTGTCATACCGTAAAAACAAACTATCAGCAACGGAGAATTTGATGCATCGATTTTTGAAATCTTACGCAAATTCAACTCAATTGATCATTTGGCGCTAACATTTCGATATAGATATATATAAAATATCCGTCCATAATTCTCGAGATTTTATTCACAAATCTTAAATGCCAATATGCGGTACAATTCACTGCTGACAATGAGCCACCTCTCTATTATTTTATTATATCGAACCCAGTATGGTACAAATTATCGCGATATAAGAGTATAAGTTAGGTTTTGGAAAAATAAAAAATTTTGGTACGTTTAATTTCTTGAAATATCGATTATATTACTCCACGAGCCGTAGGTTGTCGACCCCTGGTGTACGGGATCACATCTTATTAAGTGCTTTTCATTATGCTAGAATTTGTTGTGGTTTTGTGTTTGACTGCTTGGACTATAAAATATCGATTGGGAATGATTAGAACAAGGTTACACATTTCTCTAAATTGAAAAACGGTGGCAAATTCACCCCATCAATTTAAAAATGTCAGCATAATAGCGACAACTGTATATGTTGTAATATGTAATATGTTGTCGGATATGTTGTCTTGTAATATGTTGTCGGATAATGTTGATAGAAGCGCAAAGCTCTGCTTGTCCGGGAGATATTAAATTTAATAGGCGGCATAATAAAATAAAATTGGCTTCCTACGCCTTTTAATTTGATACACTTCTTTTGTGTCGGACGTGTCTTTTGTAACATAAGAAGCAAATCCAAACAAATTAGTCTCGTGTCGACAACGTTGTAAATACCATTCCGACCTTGCGGACATTTGTATCTCTTTGTATGTCGTCCTTTAAATGAAATGTTACATCCCGGATCTACTTGCCTCCCGCGAGCAAAGGAAAAGCTGGTGATTTCGCTGTAACTTAGTACAAACACGGTTTTCGGTGGGATAATATCGACGAGCCGATGCCTGAAAATATAACAACATTTT